TGTTGGATCCGTCGGGATAGGTCCGTTGCCTCGAGCTGCTTTGTCGTCCACGACCTCTACCTCGAGCACCGTTGCCTCGCCCGCCGCCGCGTCCATAGCCGTTGCGCTGTCCGGAGGAGCCGCCCTCACCGTAGCTGCCGCTGTGCTGAAGCCCGCCGCCATGGTAGCCGCCGCTGCCGCTGCTGCCGTGCTGAGGACCCCCGCTGCCGCCGCTGGAAGACTGCCGGCCGCCGCTGTTGACGCCGGGCCTGTGGGCGAGTAGGGCCGTGCTGCTCGAGTCGCCCATGGGAGAGTGTTGCCGGTCCAAAAGCATAAGAGCGGAGCGGGCTTGGAGAAAAGTGGGCAGCGGATCCTGAAATTGAAGAAAAGACGTCTAGGCTTGCAAATCTGCGGGGAGACCACGAAGCATCTGAAGAACCAATTGATGTTGGGACACCGGGGCATCAACATCGTCCAGCCAATCTGTGAGATTTTGCAGATGTTGACAGTAGGCCGCCATGGTGGTGTTGCCTTTGACAGTGGTACGGAACTCGTGCTCCAGTTGCATGGCACGAGCATTCTTGTTGTCGTGAAACAGATCATGAATAACTTTCCAAAGAGCAGAAGCGGTGGAGACAGAAGAGATAACCAGATCTGAGACTTCGTCAGAGATGGTGGATAAGATCCATCCCTGGAGGAGAGCGTCGAGTTGGAGCCACTCATCATCGTCTTCAGAGAGAGGGACGATGGAGCCATTGATGTAGCCTTGGAGATTGAATCGGCGCACCAAGAAGAGGAAAAGGCGACTCCACTTTTTGTAGTTCGGTTGAGAGAGGCTGAGAAGAACCGGAACATGGAGTTTGACATTAGAGATCGTCGTGAAGGCAAGATGAGGGGTTTTTGCCGGAGTGGAGTTGGAGGTAACCTCGCTTTCGGCCATTAGAGAGAAGAGAGCCGAAGGGAGAAGGGGGGGGGGGGTGCCGCCGCTGGGGGACTGCCGACGTCGAAGGAGGGACGACGGGGCGGCGCTGTGACTGCCGCGAGGGAGAGAGAGAGCCGAGAAGTAGGGTTAGGGTTTTTTCTTTTTTTTTTGTTTAATTAGGCTCCGATATCATGAAGAATTATGATTTTCATTGATCAAAAGAGTTGTGATTACATGTATATATATAAGGGGAGTCTCAATCCTAATCAAGGTAGGAGAGACACAAGTAAGGAAACCTATACAAATAAGGTAAGGGAATAATACAATATATTAAATATATACAATATATTTAACAATAATATTTTAGAACTTTCTATTATCAAATGTTAGAGTAGATATGACTTATCCTATTTAGAAAAAAGTGATATGTTTAAGGGCCAAATAGCTCCCGTACCCCATGTGGTTGGGAATCTTGGCAGCAATACCCCCTCTGTTTTCAAAACTTATTTCTAAAGTTCCCGTGGTTTCAAATCGTTGCACCCACACTCCCTCTGATCATTTTCTGGACATTTTCCGGCGAAGAGGGGGCATTGGCGCATAATTTCTATACCATAGGGGGCATTCGTGCTCATTTCTTATTTTTGTTTATTATTCTTCCTTTTTAAAAAATATTTTCTATCTCTTTTTCCTTTTCCTAGATTTTTTTAAATATATTTTCAATTTTTTATAATGTTTCAAAAATTTTCAAATTCTTTGTGTTTGAAATTAAAATAAAAAAAATTAACATACATTACATCTATCTCAAATTAAACATTTTCATCTTTTGCTATTTAGAATACTTTTTTGGAAAGTTCAAAAAAACAAAGAATAAAAAAATAAAAGTATAGAAAAACGATATGAAAAAATTAAAATACGCAAAAAAAATCTTATACAAAAAAAATTGGACACGCCTAAAAAAGTTCTTAGAATTAAGATATCCAAAAAGGGTATTCATTTTTATTTTTGTATTAATTTGTTTCTTATTTTATTCCTCACATTTTTGAAGTTCTCAAAAAAAAATTACTTTTTTCAGAATAAACAAAAATTGTTAATTTAAGAAGTACATATACATTAAATGTTAAATTTTTCAAACAAAAATAACTTTAAATTTTAAGAACATTATAAAAATAATTTTAAAAAAACCTTTATTAATAAATGAAACAAAAAAGGAAAAAATGGAAAAAAAAATGCGAGAAATAAAAATCAGCACTGATACCCCCTATGATTTAAAAAATATGCACCAATGCCCCCTTCTTCACCGGAAAAATGGCCGGAAAATGATTAGAGGGGCACGGGTGCAGCATTTCGAAACCACATGAACATTAGAAATAAGGTTTAAAAACAGAGGGGGTATTGGTGCTTGTTTTGCAAACCACAAAGGGTATCGGCGCTATTTGGCCTATGTTTAAGTGTTATTTAAGTAAACAAGCGTAAGTTTTTAATATTTATTATTATATTTTCGGAAACTTACCATTTTAAGTGAACAATTGCCATTTGTTAATGTAATAACGCATGGGCAGGAAAAAAAGGTTGACTCCATGTCTTTTTAAATAAAGTATGGATAGCCCTATAATAATTAATAGGACTAAGGCTCTGTTCCGTTCAACTTATTTTTTCTGATCTGATCTGATTTTTTGTAGTTCTGATCTGGTCTGATCTGATTGGATCTCATCTAATTTGATTCGATCTGATCTGATTGGATCTGATCTGATCTGATGTGGTCTGATCTGATTAGATCTGATCTTATCGGATTGGATCTTATCTGATTAATTATGATTCGATTTAAAATTCAAATCAAATCAATAATTTGATTTGAGTTTATAATAACGTTTGAGAATTGTAATGATAATTCATACTATAATATAAACAATATTTTTTATTTTATAATTTTTTTAATAAAATAAAATTAGTTAATTTATACTCCCTCCGTTCTAGAGTATTTGTCCACTTTCATTTTTACACACCATCCAATGCACTTCTTTAATCCATTTTCTCTTGTAATTTGTATATTAAAAAATTATAGAAATTATATATTAATAATCTATATGTTAAGACAAATCAAACAAGATTACACATGACTATATTTAGGCTTACACATTGAGAGAATTTGATGAGTCAAAGTGCTTAGATGAACAGTTCCAAAAGTCAAAAGTGGACGAATATACCGGGACGGAGGGAGTATATTAGAATAATCATTCATATTTTAAAATAATACTATTTTTTTATTTGATGATTATTGTTTATGAAATAAGAATATTGATTTAATATTTTAATAATTAGTTCATATATACATTAGAATAAATATTTAATTTATATATAATCAATATAGAGAAGAGATAGTATTTTTATTAAAATATCACATCCTTATAAAAGATCAAAACTTTAGAAACTCAAATTACAGGTAGCAATAAAAATGTATTTTAAAAGTAGAATTAGATTGACTTTATCAATGTATTTTAAAAATAATTTTTTCAAAGTCTAATAATTAAGGATTAATTTCTCAGTTTTTTATTTAACTTGTTTCTAAAGTTTACTCTTTTCATTTTAAAGAATAATAATAATAATAATAACCATAACAACAACAACAACAATAATAGTACTACTAATAATAATAATTATTATTTATGGGATCTGGTCTGGTCTGATCTGATCTGATTGGATCTGATTTGATTGGATTTGATCTGAGGTCTCATCTGATCTGATTGGATCTGATCTGATCTGATTTGTTCTAATCTGGTTTGATCTGGTCTGGACTGATCTGATCTGATTTTAATAAGAATAAGAAAAAATAAGTTGAACAGAACATGGCCTAACTCAAAAAGAATTTTATGGTGATTTAATTTGTTGAAGTAATACTCCGTATTAGGCTTTCCTATCAAAGAAGAAAAGAAATTGGAATAACTTCCATATATGTGAAGGAAACACTTTACATGCACGCATGCCATTATCGTAAATAAGACATACCCCTTAATAAATTTAATTTTTTTGGATGGTAAATATTTTCTTAAATAACTCTCCGTATAAATTTAAATTATTTTATTTTTATTTAATTATTTATGCAAAAATTAGTTTAAGCCTGTATCAATATTTAAAATATTTAAATAAAGGAACAAATCCCTAAATATGAATAAACAAATAAGTTTAAAAATAACAAACTACGACTCTACCAGTGCTAGTCTTTCTTAATTAGAAATCACTCTAAATAAGACTAAAACATAAAAAAGATATCAAAATAAGACTTTCATGCTTTTCTTCCAAAAATAGGACTTGGAAACGTATGGGGGCAAGTACGTGTGTGTGTGTGTGTGTGTGTGTGTGTGTGTGTGTGTGTGTGTGTGTGTGTGTGTGTGTGTATATATATATGGCCTTTTGGGGCATGTGAAGAACACCACAACTCCTCTTTCTTTCAATTCAATTAGAACTCTAATTAATTAATTATTATGTGGCCAAGGGAAGGCGGTGGTTATTACATCAAGGATGAAACTGAACCGTTTGTCCACCAAGAGAGGCAATTTGGAATGCATAAAATATATCTGACGTTCCTTAGCGGTTTACCAGGCAAGTTTATCATATTCTGTTTATAAGTTCGGTCGTGCGTGCCGGGTTTAGAAGTAAGTTGCTCCCTCAACTTTGAAAAATGTTACACCAATGGTCTATCCGTGCCATGTTCAGAAGTGTGTTAATCACACGCTTATCCAGTGCAAATTTGAATTGATCTAATGTCATACTCCCTTCGTCCCAAATTAGATACAATAGGAATGATTTTTCCTTAATAAATTTTGCTGGGTGTGTTAATTACTCCGTAGTCGCTTTCCTAAACAATACCCCGGCCTCTTGGCCCATACTAGGGGTGAACACAGATCGGGACTGTCTGGATTTTATGTTGTCTCACGTCTTGTCCCGTTATATATAAACGGTTCGGATTACAATCTTATCCTAGTTTGTCCCATAAAATTCGGGATCGGATAAATCGGGACGGATTCAGGTCGTCCCACTTTGTCCTAATCGCAAATATAATAAGGGGGAGAGGGTGACATTTCATTCAAAAAAAGAAACATCTAATCATCCTACAAAAAACAATGAGTAGAACAGGTCCAAATAAATTTCAAGTTTATTAAGTTAACTTAATTAAATAACTAATTAATTAAATAATGAGTGTATTTGGATTTTGGACTAAAATTAGTATTATATATTAGTAGAGTAGATAAAACGGGACAAATGGAACGGATCAATATAAATTTAAGCTGTTCCGCTCATGTCCCATTTGATATTGGAATGGAACGGGTTCGAGATAAAAAAATGTGTCCCTATATATCTGTACAATTACAAAACGGATCCAGGATTTTTCGGAACGGTCCAAAGAGAATGGATTTCACGCCCACCCATAATAAATATGAAACTCCATAGTTGCTTTCTCATCTAGAAGTTCGAATAAACAATTTAATTGTTAAACACCTTTTTTAAAGTTTTAAAAGTTAAATTACACTCCGTATGTTTTTTACGAGACAGATATAGGGCCGGTTTGGGAATAGCGTTAGAGATTAGCGTTAGCGTTTTAGATAAAATTTTAACGGTGTAGATTTCTTTAAAAACGCTGTCCGTAGATAGCTTTTTCAAAACGCTAACGCTAATCACTAACGCTATTCCCAAACAGGCGCATAATGTAGGAGTACAAAAGAGTTTAATAATGTTTTGCCCTTACTACCGTGCCCTTACTAATCTATGGGCATGAATGTCATTCTATCTAAAATTGACACGTGGATTCATGTTTATTTTGTTTCCATGTAAATTAATAAAGATTCTTTATTACTTTAAGTCTAAAAAAATTAAAATATGGTCACTTCCTTTTTACTCTGCATTACTCCATATTATTTATCAATTTTTTAGAACGATTTATTTATTTTTGATCAATTACTCCGTATTAATTTATTAATTTAATATATTATCTTTTTATTATGCCATCCTACCTTCCTAAATATTCTCGATAACTTTAAGTTTCAAAACAAATAGATATATATTTTTTATGACTCACACGTATTATTATTTTTTCTTAAATGTTTTCATATTAATGTAATTTTCTATTTTTTAATTTACATGTCACTAGTCAATGTTCCAAAAAAAGTAGAACAATTAGATTAATATTTTTATTTATCTTATGTTAGAATATAAAAGTCTTTCCTGGGCCATAATCAATAGTTTGAACTTTTGGTTAAGTTGATTTCTTAGCATAATATTACCTATATGCTAAAATTTTTGGTTGAGTCGGTTCCTTAACATCTCAAATAAAATGAATATTTTACATAAATTTAAAATAAAATGAAAAATTTTCATATGTAGAATGGACTTGTTTTTCTAATGTAAATTTTCAATATTCTATATTTATGTTTCTTTAAAACAACATTAACTTGCACTGAATTTTAGTTTCTTAATTACTCTATTAAATGTAAGAAAACTAATTTATTTCTTTTTTTTATATACTCCCGAGTTATAATCTATTTACTATTAAACTTTAAAAAAGCCTGACATAAATAAAAATAGACTTTTTTGAGATTATGATTTTGGAATATTCTATAATTATGTTTCTTTGAAATGACATTAACTTGCAGTAAATTTTAACTTCTTAATTACTTTATTAAATGATAAGAACTTAATTTGTTTGTAATTTTGCAAAGTAATCTAGTTACCATTACACTTTATAAAATTTTAAATTACGAACAATATATGCATTTTAGCTAAGCGGGGTTGCTTAAATTATACTCATCCCTCCCAAGAAGTTTGCCACATTTCGTAAAATGGGAGAAATTATCAAGTTTTTAAATTCGTTTTATTTAAATATTAGCATAGAAATAAAAAATAAAATTTACATATTTAAAAATTACATGAAAAAAATTTTCAAAATGAGAGATGTCAAGAATATTTTATTTTATCAAATAATCAATGAAAATATACAAATAAACAAAAGTTCTCGTGATCGTTGAAAAAGAAAATATGGCATTCTTTTTTAGACAGGGGAGTATATTAATTGAAATTTTAAAATTACGCTACAAGAGTTTTTAAAAATACGAGACCATCAGTACTAAATATGTCGTGATCTAATTTGTTGTTTTCTCTACACTTATAATATACTCCATCGGTTATTGAAAACACTTCCCATTTTGACTAAGTGCCAAAATAAGGAAGTATTAAATTGTTGTTAATTTCCAATTTTGCTCTTGATGTGCTGAGTAAAAATATTACGCGATTGATAGATCATTAAAGAAAAAGTATGATGTGATTGGTAGGATCAAAAAAATAAGTAAAAATGGTTTTTTAATATAAAGTGGAAATATATTGGTGGAAGAGAAAAAAATACAAGAGAGTATTTTGGTGGATGGATAGAGTAGTTATTAAGTTATTTACTTCTCATTAGAGCATGTGCAATGGCAAGGAAGATGCATGCCATGCACTCCCACATCAGCTTCTTCTACATATATCATGATATGGTAAAGTTAAAATGCCTTGCTTTGTGAGGCATGAGTGTGTCACTCCATCCTTCTTTTTTTATTTTTTTTAAATAAATTTTTTTAAAATTTTTTATGAAAAAAATGTACAAAAAAGTAGAATAGTTTTTTAATAAAATAAATAATAAAAATATTTTTTTATGTTTAAAAAACATAAAAAATTGTAAAAAAGTGATAAAAAATAATGACTTGCCATTGTAGAACTTGCCACTCCATTCACTTGCGACACGCTGACTGGACTATTTTTGATTGGTTAAAATGTTCCACGTCACCGTTTGGCATTCCATTTTTGACTTACCATTGTTTATGCTCTTAGAGCACAAGCAGCGGCGAGGCTTTCTCATGCCTCGTCTGCCACATCATCCTCCCATGCCCCGCCCTCACCATGGCAAATGAAATATGACACTCATTGCAAGCCATGTGCGAGGCAATGACACCCATTTTTTTTCTTTTTCTCGTTTTTTTTCCATTCATAACTTAATCCCTAAGTAGTTGTTCTCTTTTGAATAATGTGATACGGAGTATTATCTTTTTTAAACTAATTTTATATATACAAATTATTAAGAAAAAAATTATTAATAGCACCGTGTTTTAAACTAATAACAATATTTTACAAAATAAGCAGCGATAAGAATAATTTATTTTATTAAATATACCATGAAAAAGGTAAGCACAAAAAATATTATCAAAAATCAAAAATTGTAACTACATCATTTTTGGAAACGGAGAGAGTATAAACAATGTAGAATTGTTTTCAAAAAAACAATGTAGAATTATTTTTATGAAAAAAGTAAATAAATTAAATTTTAATACTCCGTAATTAAATACATAAAAATGTAAAAAAATGACAAAGATAATGACTTACCACTGTATTGCATGCCACTCCACCATCTTACCACATGATGACTGCACTATTTTTTATTGATTGAAATATTACACGTCAACGTGTGGCATTCCATTTTCTGCCTTGTCATTGCCCGTGCTCTTATTATTGAAATCCACTAAATGTTGAATGATCTTTTTTCCTTTCCCTCCAAATAATTATATACTTCATGACGATGTGCTTATTGGTTAATTTTTAAATATGTGTATGTCGGATTATGTCAATATATACTACTTCTGTTCATAAAAACTTCTGCATTTGATTTCCACGAATTTCAAGAAAAACATTGAAAAATAAAAAAAAATCATTTTTTTGGAACAAACAAAGAGAAATGAGTGAAAATTTGTGCCGGATGAAAAAGAAAAATGGCTTATTTATGTAAATTCGTCATTTTATTTAAGATTAATAAAAATATTCTCTTTGTCTTACTTTTTTTAGAACATGGAATTGTGACATGCAAATTAAGAAATAAGTATTATTAAAATTAATGTAAAAAATATAGGAAAAGCAATAATAATTGTGAATAAAAAACTCTACCTTTTGAAACTTAAAATAAAAGTGAATATAGAATGGCATAATGAAAAAATAATTTATTAAATTTATAAATTAATACAGAGTAATTGATCAAAAAATTAGAGCTTTAAAAAAATGGATCAAATGTAAAGGGAGTGAAAGAGAAGCGAACCATACTCTAATTTTTGAAAATTAAAGTATTAAGGAATAGAAATCATTTCAAGTAGGACTAAAACATACAGAAAAGTATCAAAATAGGACTTTCATGTTTTTTTTCTGAAATAGGACTTTGCACTGTGGTAATGTGGGACTGTACATGTGCACATTAATATACTTTTTTGGTAATCTACATGACTATGATCGGTAATGTAAATTTTATTTTGAGGAATAAAAACATGAAAGTTTTATTCTAAAATATTTTCAATATTTTAGTCCTACATTGGTATTTCTCCCATTAATCTACATTACAATCAGGTATTAGAACTATAAAATAAAATTCACAGGATTTCTTCTTATTTCACTATACAAAGAATGGTGTCAATATATATTACAATATGTAACTAAGAGACAATTAAGGAAGGTGGGTGGAAGCTAATCAATATCTTTGATTGATTATTTGATTCTCAATCAAGGATATGATTTACATAATATCTTAATCAAAT